CCCCCCCCCCCATCCTTAATCTATTTATAGCAGTAACAAAATTTTTGTTACACAGTCAAAAAGAGTTTTTTTTATTCAGTTCAAAGCTTTAACATTGCAATTCGTTGATTATGAAATCTCAAATTGTAATATTAAAAATACTTTTTTTATTTCTGTGACTGTTTTCTTGAGTATCGAATGACTCTGTATGTTGTGAAGACGACCCCCTGCCTCTTTTTTCTAGGATAATTATTATTTAAAATTATTGTCAAACTTATATGTAAACCATAAATTCAATATTTAATTAATTGTTTATTAATAATTTATCAAATATAAACCGTAAATCTGTTATTTAACATTGTAATATTTACTAGAATCTTGACATAAGAAAAAGTCAAATTTATGCCAAATTACTGGGAGGACTTTGTGATCTCGTAGCTCCTGCAGTTTTAATTTTACGTCCAAGTATGAGAAGATCAAAACTGACTCTTTGGTTGCAAATTAAAAATTTTCTTCTTCAAAAAGAGAAGTTGTGAAATTGAAACATTGGATATTTCAATTTAACGTGAAGTTTACTTGAGTTTGACGTGTAAAGTGAAAACAGTAGGAGTTATTATGTTACTTAACGTTCTGGTAACACAACAGGACATTCTTAGTTTTATTTGAAATAATGTCTACATCAGTCCCTAAGTAGCTAAGTTAAAAGTTGTTTCAATGCAGTTTAGGATGGGTTTGGGAAGGGGGGCATGGCGAAATTAATTCGTCTAATAAAAAATTCGATCATATGCGCGCGTGTCAAGACTGGAAAATTCAAAACTAATTCTTAAATCTAGCTGGATTTCTGATGTAGTTTCAAAGAAGAGGAAATAAGATCATTTTGCAATGGTGCCCCCTCCCCCTATTTATGCCTTTGTTAAGGTGGAAATAGGAAGATTAGATTTCTCCCTAGCGCTGTAAATTCCGCCAGTAGGATTTGCCGCCGGTAGCTCTCCGGCTTGGCGGCACGTTTGTATTTTCATCTCTGAACTGGGCATCACGGTTTAAACTAGTTACTAACAGAAAATACAAAAATAGGATGATTTTATATTTGTTATTGTTTGTTGATTTTTGGTAATACTTAATAGAACACAAAAATATTTACTCCATATAGTTTTATGTTCATCATGCATAAAACTGGTAAAGTCTTTTTTCTGGATATTTTTTAGTGGAAGAAAAAGTGCGGTTATTATGATTGTAAATAATAATGATTGTTCTAAATTTAAAAGCTCGTGCAACGTTACGAGTAATTATCAATGATTTTTTATATTAAAAATGACCAGACACTTAAGATAAACCAATTGTACTAATGCAAGGAGAGTTAATTGCGGTCGCGTATGCTCTGCGGACATATTGAAACCAGTTCTCTCAGGGCAGAATTTGTAAACAAGAATAGATGCATCAGTGTTCGTTTAGTATCCGAGGAGCTTAAAAGCATCTAATTTTGATAATTTTGAAAATTCACATAATAGTTTCCTATGACCAGAGTATTTCATAGATTATTTTTGTGAAAATGGATTCCATGTCAGGCTGTGACATCCGTCTTGTGTTTACTTTTCCTCCCAAAGACAGTACACAAATAACTTTCCTTGAATTAGTACCTTAAGTTAAACCTGCTCTTTATTCTGTTAGAGTACTCATGAAGATCACTGCGCATGTAGTACCTGTCATGTACGTGAATACCGAAAGCTTAGTTAAGGGTAAGTTAACTGATTCGAATTAATTTTGCAATGATCACAATCATTAATATTTTTTTTTTATGTTAGTTAGACGATTCTGACACTGACATGTTTCACCTATTTATCTATCTACATAAATATATATCTAGCTTGCTGTTTCTCTATCTATCTATCTATCTGCTAAACCCACCGAGTTCTAGATAATAATAATGTTAAGGATAATAAGAGATATTTATGCGGAATTTGTTGACAATGAAACCAGGATATTGGGATCAAATCATACAATTCAGAAGCTAATAGACACCTCCTCGTATACACACAAACATATTCACCACTCAGTTCGACTATATCGTACATAACCCGGAGAAATCAATTTATATTTTTCACTGTCATGATATAAATGAACTTTTAGGACGCTTCCGTGTACTTTTATAAGATTGAAACTTGAAATATGACATCTCTGTTTTGGTGTTTGTTTGTTTATTTGGGTGTTCGATCATAACTCATGAACCCCATGACTGATTTGCTTCAAACTTGACTGGGGAACTCGGAAAAACCTTAGAAATTCTCTTAGTTTGGTTAAATATTCTAACTTTAGTGTTGTTTATTTTATAAAGAAAGATTAGTTTCCAGCCTTCTAGTCAAGCTTGGTTCCCATTAGCTAGTTTATAATATTATAAGACCCAACCCACTCATCTTCTTAGACATTTCAAACCAAGTTAAGAACATTCCCGTGGTTCTACCGAGTTTCCCAATCTAAATTTGAGGCAAATCGGTCAAACATAAATTACTACTATTTAAATCTATACATAAATTTAGCTTGTCTGTCTGTTTGCTTGTTTGTATCCATTAAACGTCAAAATGGCTGAACCGATCGGGCACACATTTTGTTTGGGGCCTCACGTGACCCCAGGGAAGATTTATGAATGATCAAAATTTAAAAAATTTGTGCTTGAAAGTTTTTTATTTTTGCAAAATTTTGAAAATGCGCGAAAAAATATTATGAAATCCGAAAACTTTTTTGTATTTGTTTTATACTGTACAAAGAGAAGATGCTCACAGATAAAGCTACAATTAAAAATTGAAATAGCAGATGGGCCCGAGGCGCCTTAAAACCCTAGCATATATATATATATATACAAATAGATTATCGGAACAACGCAAAAACACCATATTTTTAATGAAACTTTTATTAGGTTTAATGAAAATTTTTATCTTATCATTGTTATTTTTAATTAGATGTTATATCAACTCACGAAGTTGTTATTTTAAGACTTAATTACGAAAAATCAAAAGACGATCACCCANCCGCAAAAAAATGTTTTTTCTTCTCAGAAATTTATTTTCTCCATATCTTTCCGTTTTGCTTTTTATTCAAGACTTTGTTTTGTATTTCTCACGGTTCAAGATTCAGGGATATTTTAAAAACTTTTTTAATTTGATAATTGTAAAATTTGAATGCATTGCAAGATGATTATCTACTTAATATAAATTTTTGAAAGAAATATATTGACCCCTGGTGTTCTTATCATAATAGAATGGTGTAACATAGCATAGGACAGTTTTAGCAAATTCACGTCATATGTAGTTCATGAGGGAGACATTTATTTGACATTGTGTGGGGAGCTTTCTAATATCTCGATATTTCTAAAACGGAAAAAGAGAGAGAAAAGGGCATTTTGATAAAGCGTAGTGAAATATTTAAGTAATCATATTTTTTACCGCATTTTTTAGAGGGTTTAGTTAAGGATCCTCTCTTATGAAGGCAGAGCTGGGAACTTTAGAATGGATAACCTTTAATCCCAACTACTTAATCCGAATATCCACTGTGTACACTTTTAATTTTAGTCCTTAATCCACTCCTTTTCTCTCTCTTTGGATATCCGTACATTGTTTTCTCCAATGAGAGTGCAGGAATATAGCTCGTAAATTGTATTGACCAATGACAGCCTTGAAAATAAATTCTATCCCATGAGAGAAATCCGCAATTACTAACAAATAAAGAATATGTTGTCGCCATTTTTAAAAATTTATCGGTGAAGAAAAATATTTAATAATACGTTTGAGATTCTTCTTAACCAATTTTAAATAATTTTTTAATAAATAAATGGGTGATAAATTAAGTGAAGAAAACGAACAAACCTGGCGTTCCTAGAATCAAATTTGTTGATCTAAATATTTTATCTTGAGACTAACATAATCTCGAGATTATGTTTGTCTCAAGATTAGCAAATAGAGAGAATTATGCATTAATCCTGATATCCACCATTCTAAAGTTCCCAGCTCTGAACGTATTTGAATGCAATTTTATGGTCGCCCTCTCAATTCTCATGTAGATTAATTGAAATAACTGTTCTATTTTTTGATCTACATAGTGTTAAGGCTTGAAGGAATTAAGTCTTTGTCACAAACTCTGATATCTTATCCCTATATCTTTGCAACCTAATGTGATGGACCTTCGATATTTTAAAGTCTAAATCTAATAATCTAAGTTTTAGATATCAAATACTTACACCATGAAGTTACAAAAGATGGAAAATTAGAGTTTGTTGTAAAAAACTCAATTCCTTTTTACTTTATGAATTAATAACACACTTCTCAACAGGGCTAGCATATGTTACAATTTTAAATTTAAAAGTTATCCCCCCCCCCCTCCATATTAATTTCTTGTATTATAGTTAATACATCCCTGCCTATTGATAACTAAGCTATTCTTCAAAAAGTTTTGCTCCGTAACTAAGCCACACCCCCCCCCCCCTCAGGAATTCTAAAAATTTGCATTACAAATCTTTGAACGTAATACTTATTTATAAAAGAGGGGTGAAAAAAGGGATCAAATTAAACCTGCGGATTGACATAAAAGGCAAAGAAAAAGGGAAACTTCTACTGATACCCTTTAAACCTTTATCTGAGTAAACATAAGGAAGATACCCTTTTATTCCTTTATCTGAGTAAACATAAGGAAGATACCCTTTCATTCCTTTATCTGAGTAAACACAAGGAAGTTATCCTTTAAACCTTTATCTGAGTAAGCATAAGGAAGTTATCCTTTAAACCTTTATCTGAGTAAACAGGAAGTTATCCTTTAAACCTTTATCTGAGTAAACACAAGGAAGTTATCCTTTAAACATAAGGAAGTTATCCTTTAAACCTTTATCTGAGTAAACACAAGGAAGTTATCCTTTAAACCATTATCTGAGTAAACACAAGGAAGTTATCCTTTAAACCTTTATCTAAGTAAACACAAGGAAGTTATCCTTTAAACATTTATCTGAGTAAACAGAAGAAAAATA